GGGGACCAGAGCCCCGACCCCTGGGGAAGCGCTCCTAAGGCCCGACTAGGGCCAAGCCCTCCTTGCCCGGGAAGGCCATATGGTTTGAGCTTAGTTTAAGCTCCTTTTGAAAACCAGTTTGAAATACCCAGTACTCAAGGATCCCTGGATTATTGTCATCTTTTGGCACCACTTCAGCCCCATGCAGGTCATCTTACAGCAGTTTGGAATTGCTAGTTGCGGGATGCTGAGGGCGAAGTAAAGACAGGAGGGCTCATGTACATTGTGGCACTGGCCTGAAAGACCAAACCAAACACCAACTCTGCTTATTTTTAGCCACTTTATAGACATATCACCAGCTGCTCTTACTCCCTAGGGTTGCCTTAATACATTTTACGAAGAGGACGTTTCCAGGGCCTGGTGGGTGAATGCCCCTCCGGGTTTGGACCCAGCAGCCTTCCATACAGCCCTCATGGAATGGACCCTGACCCCAAAGACGGGCTTCTGGAATTCAGCACCAGGTGCTGTGAGTCAGCTGTTTCCTCTACTGACTTTCTTCTTTACATAATTCTGGAATGTAGGAGAGAGTGGATTGAGGGAAAGGTCTACTGTTTTTGTTTCTCCAGATCCTTCCAGGGCTGTGTTACTGAACAGGTATGTTGGAGATGAATGCATTGTAACAAAAAACTATCTACTGCTCCCAAACCCTGCTCTAGTTATTTTAAAAAAACAAAGAGCGGTCAGAGTTTGTATCAGGCCAAACATAGGTCTAATGTTGAAAAATCAAGGCTCTAGTTTTTGCTTAGGATGCATTTAATACTTTTATGTTTTTTGAAGTACAGTGACTGAGCTGATCTCTGATGTAAGCCAAGATGCTGGAAGGGGTGCTTCCTCTTCAAAGGAAGATGCAAGCTCCAGTTAGGACAGACAGGATTCCAGCAGCAGAGTGAGCTTAATCCTGCTGTATTACAAAATATTAGGAGCACATGCAAAAGGAATAGTGGCAGTTGATGAAAAATGCCCCACAACTATAAAATGTAGAGTGGGGCTTTCTCTCTTAGCTTCTGGCTTTTGACCACTGTGGGACTTTCAGCCAAAGTCTGCTTATACTCGGATTTTTTTTTCAATAAACACATACTGCAGTACTATGTAATCCGAGGTTGGCTGCAGAACTGGGAAGGGATACAGAGGGCTAACTGTAAGTTTATCTTGAATTTTCCACTGTGTGGAGGGAGGATTGGTACCCTATAAACCAAGGGTCAAGTGTATACTGAAGCGGTCCTATTGTGAGACAAACTGAGTACATTCTATTGACCTTCAGATGAGTACGAATGAAAACAAGGACAAATGATGCAGAAAAACCTCCAAATCAAGTTGCTTTATTTAAAATGATAAACAAGTTTCATCCCAGTGAAAGTTAAAAAATATCCACCCGGTGGTGGCCCCCGCAGGCATTTGGTGGCGGACCCCAAGGCAAAGACCTAAGCAGGAGTAGGAGGTGCTTGGGGCGCTCTACTCAACAACTACAGGGGGCACGGGGCGTTCAGCAGACAGTCCCAGTTCTTCTGTCACGTCCAGTCCCCTCGGAGAGAGCAGGCGGGGCCTGTTCTCCAGCTCCCAGGAGAGAAGGGGGTGGGGGCCAGATGTTTCAAGTGTTTTTTTTTTTAAGAATTTTAAAAATTTATTTTTAACAAAATAATACATGTATATAGTTTGAAAAAGCCAAATAGTTGTATAAGCTCTCCAGTGAGGAACAGCAGTTCCCTGCTTCACCTTCTTTCTCCCATTGATTCCTGCTCCCCAGATGTTTCAAAGTTTTGAACTCACGAGGAGACAAGGCTGAGAGCCACCGCAGCCAGGGCTGCCTCAGTTTGCTGCATATGATGTAACATCAGTGTAACGTCTTGACAGAAGCCAGGGAGGGGGAGTGTGAGGAGAAAACAGACTCCACGTGGAACCATCAATGGTACCCAGCACACGCGGCAAACAGCTTACTTGTGGAAATGCTATGTAGAATTCAAGGAGCCTGCAGCTGCGGGCTTATACGCCTACTTCGCAGCAGTGCTTTTCACATTTACTACAGAACCCCTGTCCCACCCTATACTCTTACCTAAAGTCCTAAAGCGTATCAAGGCTAATAAATTTCTAAAGCACTTGCACCAGCAACTTTCTTGCTGATCCTTAGTTTAAATACTGTTAGCTGACTTACAAAGGAGCCATGTACCAAGTGAGTTTAAGACTACAGCTATAATCATAATTATAGCTTTTATGAGGTCTTTTATGAAGAGCTCATACACCTGCATTTAACAAGGACTGAACTTGCTTTTCTGGTCATGGAAATGGACACGCATGCAATGTTCCTACCCTGACAAGTGGCCCTTGTGAACGACGCCACATTCACCATCCGTTAAGTTCCATGAGGTCAGCGATCTGGGCTTATCACTGCTGCATCTCGAGCACCTAGTACAGTGCCCGGTACTCAAACAGTTGTCAAACGCTTGAATGATTAACAAGTAGGCAAGTGCAAGCATGAGCAAAATGTGAACAGTGTCTCTGTTTTGGGTGCCCTTCCCCTCAAAGTCACAGTACTGCAGCCCCAGGAGGCGCCTGTGTGTGGCACTGGCCGTCTCAGGCTGGTGGGAAAGCCTTTGGTACCTCCCTCGTTCTCCAAGACCCAGAACCCTCCTGATGTCCTGGCCCTCCCCTTTGGTAGTTACTGGACCAAGAGCCCTTCCTCCAGGACGCAGCTTGTTGGCTTTAAGATTAGCTGTCCTCTTGGGGAATAATCTCTAAAGATAGTTGAATGTCATATCCTTCTCCTTGTTCTTGACACCACTCAGAGTAGCTCATGCCAGGAAGGTAGGAGGGTTAACTTTAGGATGGATGGACCCCTGTCCTACTTCCTGCCCAGCCACCGCTCCATTCCTTCCTCAGTTTCCCTACCTCGGCCCTGCTTTGCTTCCACGGTGGTGTGCTTGCCTGGCATGCAGTGACCGTAGAAGGGGGCTGCTGAACCTCTGGCCTGGCCACAAGTAAAGACTGTCCTGTGGTCACTCATGGGGTGGAGAGAGCCAAACGCAATCCATGCCGCCCAGGTACCCTCGGGAGGGGTGACTGCGGGCCTGTCAGACGGGCCGGGCCCCTCATTTCTGGGTATTGTTTAGCAAACAGGACTCATCTTTGGCACGTGGGGAAGTAGACCTGGGTGGCTAATCTCTCAACTCCAACCTCTACTTTGCCAGACCAGTCACTGCAAACGGGTCCCACCACGCCCCCTGGCGGCAAGCAGCCTTTGGGTCTGGTTTTGTTTTTAGCCTTTAAACTACATTTATGGAGGAGCAGTTGATATGAACTTGACAGACAGGCGATCGCCTGGTAGCCCCAATACTAGGGAGAAGAAAAAAGCATTTTGAAGATGTCAAGAAAAGTCTTTTTTTAAAGGAGGAGGAGGAACATCATTCAGGTATTAATACAAAGAGATGATTCCTTAAGGGTTTGAATTTACTCAGGCCCACAAGGGGCCCTCCCTGGGACCAGAGGGCACCGCTGGCGGGCAAAGGGGAGCAGCCCGCGGAGGTGAGGGTGGGCAGCTAGGGAGACCCTAGGAAGGGAGCCCAAGTTCTCCTCCAATCCAGAAATGCATTCTGGCTGGCATTTTGGAGTGCAGAAAACTGGATGAAGACAAAATAGGGAAGCAGCCTTCTAGGGCAAAGCCCTCTTACCAACCCAGGGCCAGGAAGCGATCACCAGTCTGTCAAAAACAGAATACTTGGCAAAGAGAAGGGCAGGATTCTCCTGATTAAACCCACTTTTAGGGAGGATTTTGAGAGGTAACATCAAACAATTCCAGGGCATCTGCACACACTCCCTCCCTCCATGTTCCAACCCAGTGTGTCTTTGACCACTCCCTCTTGTTTTTATTTAAATGTAGGGACAGATTAAGGCAAGCAGGTGAATCCAGAGGCCCAAAGATGGTGCCTGCTGGTCAATCCCTACATACTTTCCCTGGGGTATTTAGAAGCCAAAACGGATCCCAAAGACCAGACATGCCATCTCTGCACTTGCTCCCAGCACATAACATGACCCCGCCCTCATGCCTGCAGGTTGGAGAAATGGGGACGCTAATCATGAATTCTCTGACAGGGTGAGGGCTGCTCACTTACAGACCACATGGTGGGACAGACTGGGACAAACCTGTCAGAACTTGGCCCCGTTTATAATTTAAGCTCCATGAGAACACACCGAATACCTTTCCTGCTCTGTTCATAAACAGAACCACCCCAGCATGTCATCCCTCCTCCAAAGCAAACCACACAAAATTACCCCGGACCCTGACAGCCTCTGACTGCGGGGAGCAGGTAAGGAATCCTAAGACCGAGGCAGTGGTGGGCTGTGCTGGCCGTGCTGGCCGCGGTCCTCCGCTGATCACGGTTTTGGACGGATGATGCCACCCAGGAAGGCAGCCGGCTCACCGGACTTCTCACCGGAGATTGCTCCACACAGAACGCAGGGTCCACTTCCCACTCTCGGCGTCTCTGCTCGCACGCAGCTGGCTACGTGGACGGCGGGAGCCTCCCCCACACCGGTGAGGCAACAGGTGCAACAAGACACTCAAAGAACCACAACCCTCCAGCCTTGTGGGCGACCGGCTTGGTTTTAAAGGAGAAGCACAGAACCTTCTTACCCGACATCACGCTAGGGCTTCGGTGCTTCACTGAGCTTGCTGAGATTTTTAACTTCTTGACAATCTATTCTTAGTAAGCAGTGAAAACAGCATTCGACTGAAGACAGAAGCTCGGACCAGAGAGGATTATCCAAATTCAAAGAAGACAGAGAAGGAGCAGAAGACGGGAAAACTGAGTTGAGTGGCCGCCAACAGTGCACACGGGAGCCGCCTCAGGGAGAGTTTCTTTATCTGCTCAGGGGTGAGCGCGGCCGCCACAAGTGTCCCTAATCCTGCCAAGGAAAGTACAACTGCCTGTAATCAGCAGGTAGACAGCACAGCTGGGCGCAAAGCCGGAAGGAGATGTGAGAAGCAGAAACCCCCGGACCCCAGGCTGAAGGGCTTCCTCTAAAATTACTTTCTTATAAATTACAATGTCACACCTCAAGGGCAGAGATAAGTCTACAGTAATAGAAACAACTTTAAAAGGCAAGAAGAGAAATCTAAGTATGGCTGCGAAAAGGACAACGTGGGTTGAGAAATGCACAATCTAGTCTGAAAGTCAATTGATTAAGACACCGGAATGTCCCCCATCGAGCCCCTGCCAGCCCACAGAGAATGAGGAAGAGACGACAGAAAAGGGGGTGGGCCCTAAACTTCCATCACGTTTAAGAACATGCTCAGCTGCTTGGAGACAGAGACCACCACAGGGAGGTCGCCTGCAGCAGGGGGACCTTCAGGCAGCATCCTACAAGCTTCAGTATCTCACCATCTTCCAGAAACCTCCCCTCCCATCCCAGTGCCACTGGCAGTGACACTTTAACTAGCAGCACATGGAGAAGAGGGCTCTGGGCTCTGGATGTGGCCACCAAACTTCAGCCTGAGACTGTTAGGAGCGCAGGACCAGGGCAGGTGCCTGCAGAAAGATAAGCTTATTGATTTTTATCTCAAATTTTAACTTATTTAGATCCAATCTGGAGATGTGATTTGGATTTTGTAAAAAATCTGCAAGCACTCAAAGCAGCAATGACAAAAGCAGGAGGCCATGCCTCCAGCTCCTCAGAGGACACTAGGTAATTTCTCGTATTTCCCCCCTTTCCTGTGGTAACTACTGCTTCCCAGCGAGGGCACCGGCCAGTGGAGTCACTATGTTCTCCCAAGACCACGACTAGAAGAGTGACAAGGGAGGTTCCGGTATTCTCTACGAAAAAAATGTCAAAGATATAAAATGAGTTTAATTTTTATTAAATAATGTAAAGGGTTTTGTTGGCACCATCCACGTAGATTCTTGCCTTTTTGCATAAAACAAGCCACGTTAATTTGCTTCGGTAGCGGAGAAAAGGAGCTACTGTAGCAAATGCTGAGCGAACCGACTCACAGCCCAAGAGTGTCGTCACTCTCTGGCTTTCGCCAGCCCTCCTGGGCCTGCAGGTCCGAAAGGCTGCCCCGGGGGCCCTGCCGCAGGCCGCGGGCTTGTCCTCCTACACAGACACCAGCCGAGCCCGGTCACCTGGAGGAGCTGCGCTCTTTGCTGACACAGTCGTCCTGGGAGGTGGTGTCCCCGTTGCCCACCATGCTGCACGTGCGCCTCTTCTTCCTGCGGTGTGTCATCCCGTCGCCCTCGGAGCCAGACTCGCACTGGACGCAGGAGAGAAACAGGGATTCAGTCAGATGCAACCCAGGCCTTCCTTAGACAAACCTCTGACCTCAGGAGACGGCACAGGCATTGTCCGCTTTCTCCCAGAAGCAAAAAGGCCCTTTCTGACATAGTCTGAACATCCATCCCCCTGGGGGCCCAGTGTCCCTCCAGAGGTGGCTAATGGGAGGGCTGTTTGTTTGGAATCAAGATGCTTACTCTAAGAATGTGTTACTGTCCGGGCTCTGCGGTCGCTTTATGGAATTTCACTGTAACTGAACGTGCAGCACTCAACATGCATAGAACACGCCCCCGCCTCCCTTGAGAAGGCTGACTCAGCAGATTATGTGAAGATGCAAGACGGACGTCCCCTCTGCTAAAAGCACGGGACCCCCTCACCCGGTGTGATGTTAGCTTTTAACCAGGTGACTGAATTTGCTGAGTTTCCAGACTTACACTTGACCATCCACGGGAGATTCCTAACGTGGGCTGTGAGGTCAGAACACCTGGAGTCTGAACCCCGACACCACTGATCGCCAAACGGGTGATCCCGGGCCATTTACTTCAGGACATCCCCAGACACCCCTCTCACCCCTTGGGATTACTAGGACAATTCACAAACATGTGTAAAGCTATCGAACAGGCAAAATTCACCCCCCAGCAGGAACGGTGGCAGCTGGAGTTCTTGGGAGAAAGTGAAATGTGTTCACATCATTCTCCCTCCTGGATGTGAGGGGGGAGTCGCATCTGGTTTTTACGGGTGACTCGCCCTGGATGCCCGGTGAGCGAGCAAGGCCTCACCTCCGAGTCCGAGTCCGACGAGCTGGAACTGGAGGAGCTGGAGGAGTCGCTGGAGCTGTCGGAGGCGATCCCCGTGGATTCCTGCAGGTCAACGGAGTCGGCCAGGACTGCCAACTCAGGATGCTCCTGCTTCAAGATCCTGAGAGACAAGAAATATTGTGCTCAGTGCCTGGACAGATGACACCCCCGCACAGTACCCCCAACTGAGAGCTGAGGCCCGTCTCTCCAGGACACACAGCTCCACAGGCTGGGAACAAGAAACCCAGCATGCCGCTCAGGCTGCCCTGGAAGGAAAACTAGCCCCGCGCCCCGCACTGCCCCTGTGCACACGAGCCGGACGTGCTGCCAGCACGCGAGGCAGTTTCCTTGAGTTTGCCTTGGTCTCCCCCTCGGGAGAACCATCTCTTCCCCTTGCTGTTTCCCTGATCCTGTGCTAGCTGATCTTTTTAACCTCTCCTCTGCACAGCACAGTACCAAATGATGGGAGCTGGGCTTGGTTAAACTCTGTCTGTAGGAGCAGAAACAGTCAGGCTGGGAAGAGATCAGAAGTGTCAAGTAACAGAGAGGGCCCCCCTCGCTGGAGGAGAAAACTCAATGGGCCTTTCCGGGGCTGCAGCCCTCCCCTTAGGGACCTACTCTGGCATCCACTGCAACCAGGGACTAAGACCTGCGGGACGGGAAGGCCTTCAGAGTGACCAGATCGCAGTGGCCTGCAGGACAGAGTAAGTGGGCCTCAGGTGCCCAAGAGTGCGGGGAGAACAAAGCCACCACCCTTGCTGGCCCTCTCAGCAGGGAGGCTGAGCACTGAACAAGCCAGGATCCCTCTCTTACCCCGAGAGCTGGTCCCTCCGGGCCAGGGTTGGGACACAGTGGCACGGGGTGGCTGGGGGTGGCTTGCACTGCCGCGGCCCGTGCTGTATCTGTTCTGTGGATAAACAGAGGGGCTAAGTCTCCAGGATGGTCACCTCACTCACGAGACCCGAAGGCAGTGAGCTCAGATGGAAAGAATGCTTTGGGGCGAGAAAAAGGAAGTCACCAAGTAAAACCCAAACAAAATGCCTCCTGTGTGAGTCCTAACTTTGGGGAGAAAAAACAAAAACAAAAAACAACCCAAAAAAACAGAAAATGAGAAACAATCCCGATTAGAACCGTGCTCTGACTGACTGGCTCTGCTCAGACATGCAGTCCTAGCCTGTCACCTCGAGGCTGGCAAGCATCCCGAGAACCAGCCCTGACCACGGGCCCACTCTGCTCAGCCCGTGAGCTTCTGCAGGCCTGGTGTGTCCCAGGCCTGTCTGAAATCAGCGCACCTTACAGCAGCAGTGGACTCTTTCCATTTTATCTCTGGGGTAGACGTTGGAACAAAGCGAAAATAAGAAAAAAAAAGTCTCTCACCTATACCACTTCCTCGACAACTTTGGTCTCCCTCTTACCGTCTTGTGCCACACAACAGGGAAGTTGGTGCTGCTGGCAAAATTCTGGGTGATGGCAATGGTGGTGTCGAGATTGAGGACAACGTGCCACCAGCCTCCTGAAATCCAACAAGTAAACACTGAAGCAGGATTTGGTTCTATATACAACAGCTCTATGACACAGCTTCACATAACATAACACAGACCTTCAGAAACGGGGGATTCCTCTGCACGAGAAAGAGCCTTAGAGACACAGGACCCAGAGTGGTAAAGCCTGCTCCTGGTGCCAGAATCACAAGCGACCTGTTTGTCTGAAGTTTTACTGGACCGAGGCTGTGCCTGTTCCTTTATGGACTGTCTGTGACTGCTCTCCTGATACAGGGGCAGAGCTGAGCAGTTACGACAGAGACCGGCTAAGCCGAGGTACCTACAATATTTTACTCTCTGGCCCTTTACAGAACAAATGTGTCAAGCCCTGGGAAGCCACAGCTGTGACCACAACTGTAAAGGCAGCAAGTTCTTCAGTTTCTAAGAGGAGGCCTATCTTAAATACCCTCACTCCCAACACTTAATCTACCAAAACGAAGTGTGGTTTTCAAGTATAGGATTTCCTGCCTCTTGGCTCTAAGTCACTATTTCCTGACTCAATCCACCCAGTGCTACACTGTATCATTTACAGAAACATGCACAAGTCACTGCACATACAGAGACACTAAGTAACTCCTGGAGAGAAAAATGAATAGGATCTCTAGATACAGGATGTTTATCATTTTCAATTTTTTTTTTTTTGGAAATGGGGGAAAGAACGTAATTAAGTTTGTTTATTTTTTAATGGAGGTACTGGGGACTGAACTTGGGACCTCTTGTATGCTAAGCACACACTCTACCACTGAGCTATACCCTCCCCCATATAGGAAGTTTATCAACATTCATTATACATTCAGGTTACAAGAAACATCGACAGCAGCCCCCACATGGCAACATATCACCATATCACTGTCAGGGGCAGGCACCAGTTAGCTCATTCAGAGTCAGCATGCAGAGGGGATTCCTTTGACACACTCTCTAAATTGTTGTGCAAAGAATATTTTTTCTCAGTTCATCTATACCTGGAACAAAGACAGTCTCTCCTGGTTTTTGTAAGATTTCCAGGGGTTTGAATTCGGGTGGCCAGGTTGGAAGCTGCGTCCGGGGATGAATGATATTAAACCAGGTAATAGCTTCATCTTGCTGGTTCCCTCCTTCTTCACGGGTCACCTTGATGAGCTCCCTGGGCGTGCTGGTAGGGAACAAGCACCAGCGTTTGTGGCCCTGAACTAAGGCATTCCAGGCGCTGGTTCCCAGAGGGTCGATGTGAATTCCAGTTCCAGAGCGTGGTGGCCCCATCACAAACCACCTAAAGGATGGAAACATTCCAGATGTGAAGCACAATTTAACCATACAGACCCACACACTACAAAATAAACTTTCAGTTTTATACAGTACACTACACAAATTCTAATACATAGAAATGCTGAGGGAATTGTGCAGACTGATCCCTAACAGAAAACAGGAAAATCACTCATGTGGCTTACAACTAGCCTTTAATTATTAAAATTTCCAGGGACAGGGGGGCAGGGGGTTATAGCTCAGTGGTAGAGCATGTGCTTAGTGTGCCTGAGGTCTTAGGTTCAATCCTAAGACCTCCATTAAAAAGATAAAATAAATTCAAAAATTAAAAAAAAAATTAAAACTTCTCTTTATAGGTTACTGGTTCAACTCTAGTTGCACCTCTGAATCACCTGGGGAGCCTTCAGAAATCCTGATGCCCATGCGGCACCCCAGACCAATAATTACCTCAGCCCCTGGCAGAGGGCCTGGGCAGGCATCAGGATCCCTCTAAGTAAGTTCCATGTGCAACCAAGGGAGAACCACTCACTGTTTCAGAAAAAGATTAGCTGACCCAGCTCTGCTGTTGGAGACAAGATTATAACCACATCACTGCCCACTGTTTTACCTGTAAGGGGGCCTGCGCTTCTCGCCCGCATACTGGAAAAGGTCATCAGTGAAAAACTTGGGCACCTTGTAGTCTTCCAAAAGTTTCCTTCTTTTGGGGTGTTCACCGTAGCTGCTGTCAAAGATGTAAAGGGGGCTGTCATCCCGCGTGCTCTCCATGTACTCGATGTAGTATTTCATCTTCATTTTCACCGAGTAGCCGTCATTATCCTCGCCACACTTGAATTTCTGGTTCCGGTATTTCCTTTTGAGGCGCTCCAGAGTCCATTTCTCCTGCGCAGACCAGCCTTCTTGGGCATTGAGCAGAACCACGGGCTTATAAGGTCTTTCGTATCTCTCCACAAATTCCTCCACCGACAACTGTAAGGCGTCTGCCCTTTCCACGTTATCCTGAGAGAATCAGAAAAGAACTATCGAGTTAAAAAAAAAAGTCCAGCGGCAGATAAGGGTGTCCCCCAAAGCTAATTAGCAAAAGCATAGCTAAGTAGGCAGATTCCGCTCTGGCTCCTCTTAGGGAGGGAAAAGGACCTGCGTGCGTTCGGGCACGTCGCACCCAGCGCCACCCCACCAGGCAAAGGGGGCTTCGCATCTCCCACTCGTGCCCTTGGCCAGCCAGGTTCTCTAGGGCCCCGCCGCCCGAAGGGGTCAAGGGCTGACAGGCCTCGTGGAGGGCGTCAATGGCGTGGGACTCCGGCTGCCCTGGCAGGCACGGCGGGGG